TATTAATTGTGTAGATAAGGAGTTGATATTGTGTACGAATAGAGAATTTAGGAAACTGTATTGCGGTGAGTTACATTGGGGGAGATATTTTTGGGAATTGTTAGCTGATTGGTTTCGGGTGGTGTTGTTTGATTGCTGGTTAATTGTTGATACATAGAGAAGTTTGGTATGCGGGCCGTGTTAAGTAAGTTGGGAAAGTGGTATTAAGGGGAGGCATTTAGTGGTAAGTTCTCGACTTTTGTGGTCCTTGGTGGGAATTTTTTTTATTTATTTTCCAAAATTGTTTTAAAATATGAGCATTCTGTTGTTCGGATATCAACTCTGTGCGTCCGTCGCTGTTTTACATTTCGGAGGGTCGTCCTTTCGTCCTTTGGGCATGATGCCGAATACTGATTTTCAGAACAACATATACAAGAAATTAGAAGGTTATAGTTGTTTTTAGAATGCCCGAAATCCTAACATCGGAGTCACTGTGTTGGTTCTTTAACTTTAAGCCTTATTTCAGTTTTTACTTTTAGATTACATATTACGTTTGTTTAAAGCATTATTTAAATATTGTGAATATTCAGCGGCTACCAATGCGATTGGTGAATTGTTCTTGTGTAACACTAATGAGGGCAGTGCTTCTTACTACCTCTATAGGGGAAGATTGTTTAGCTTTTAGATTTTGGTAAATTTCCTCTTGAGAAATAGACGGATGAATTTTTTGTAGACCACAGAGAACGTTTTGTAGGTTGGGTCCTTTTAAATGTTTGTTAGTGCTTATAAAATATTTAATAGCTTTTCTGAAATCTTCTATTTGATTAAAGTTAATTTTTGCTTTTTCTGTTACTGAAGGTTGATGTAAACTGGTTAGTGATGTGGGTATTAATTTCATTATTTAGTGCTATAATGTTTTCAATATTGTTAATATGGATGGAAGGAATTTTAATATTTTCGGAGTTTTCAGGAACTATCATGTTTCGGGATACGGAACTTGATTCACTTTCTTGCAGGTCCCTTAAAGGGTCCCTATTTTTAATAGAAAAACCATAATCTTGAGAATGGCTAAACCCGACTTTTTGGTTGGTTGCCTGTTTAGATTTCGATCACACTGTCCTCGCTTAGCACTGGGTTTTTGGGAAAGTGGTTCTGCACTTGCGCTGGACTTTCCGCTGCACTTTGAAGAACTCGCAGGGTCGTTGGCCGGCAGATAGTTACTGAACTTATTTTCTTGACCATTATCATTGTGATGCGGCATTGTTCCACTTAACATGTGAGGCTGATGCGATGGGGAAAGAGGTAACCTCTGATTTGGTTCATGTTGTTCTAGTATATGCTCTGCTATTTATAGGAATGATGTTTCATGGGTGTCGTCTTCTTGGTAAGCGCCATTTCGCCCTCGGTCGGGTAGACTTGAGCGAGGGCATCTGCAATACAATTGTAGATTAAAATGTTGCACTAATTTGTTAGAATATTAGCACCACACAGTAAGTGTTGTTGGTAACTGTTACTGTAGAACTTAACTTTCACTGGAACACAGATCACAGGTCGAGGCGAGGCGCGGCGCTGTGCTTGTAGGTCTGTACTGTGCGACTGCTCGCAGCGGAATGAATGAACAGAGGGAAGGGGAATGGAAGGTGAAAACTAAAACGAATATGAAGGCGAGGAATGGGGGATAATATAACCTCATAAGTTTATCTAAGGTCTAAGGCAGTATCATAGAGTTTAGTAAAGAGATTCGACTCTATTTCATAGTTCATGGTGAGATTAGTCTTAATATGAAGTGATTCCAAAGTCAGCTTAGCGAAATAACTATTTTCAACATCAAGAATGTCAGCGTTGTCAAAATCAATGTCTGTGTTTCAACCTATTTTTATGATTACTTATCGAAGATTGTTTTGAAAGACGCAATAGTTCATTTCTTACACGCTCAGAGATTCGAGGTTTAAGTTGCCTTGTTGTTGTGGCTCCATACAAATAATCACAATCCAAACAATTGATTTTATAAACCACATTTGATTTCTCAACTTTATCCAACCTATCTTTTTCGTTTCTAGTGAAAGTAGCCTGATTGACCGGCTTAAATAAAACCTGCATTTGGTACTTATTCAAAAACAATTCTCTCACTTCCAAAGATAGACTACCTAAAAACGGTACCGTGATAGAATAATTAACTGGTAATTTCTATTCCTTTTTTCTACTTCTTCTATTTTCTTCTTATATTGGACTTTATTAAAGAACTTTAATCTGTTACGCACATTCATTTCACAGAACCTTGGTGGAAATCCTGCTTGCTTCAGTATGTGAAACACTTTCCGTAAGTTGTTCAAAGGGACGTTCCTGACAGCCAACTTTATGGATCTATCTACAAGGTTGTATATTGTGGCATTTTTTTTAGGATGGTTAGACAAATAGTGAAGTTTAATCTCCGAAAATGTTTTACTAGTTTCCAGATCGTTTTGGTTGTATTTCCTTGATGTTATGATGACTTGAATTCTTTAATTAATATTGGAAATTGAATTAAATATATCAGATTTTCTATTGTTTGCAATAACTATTTTTTCTAATTTATTTAATCTTTCTAAAAATTTAAAATCTGTAATATTACAATTTGTACAGTTTAATTCTTTAATCAATATTGATATTTTATACAATGAATTCTTTTTTATTATATTTTTATATTCTACAAACGAAAATGTAAACAACCCCTTCATATTTTCTATATTTTCGACAGGTTCATATACATTATTAAAATTATTTAAATATTTTTTTTTAAATTTAGGATAATCTATATATAAGTTTACCATAATAATACGTAACAGTTAATTCTATAATTGTTTATTAATAATAAAGATAAAACATCATCTTGGTCTAAATATTTTATAATACCCATCAAACATGGTTCTGGAAGATATTTAATTTATTTTTTGTTGCAAAATATTGTATATGATTCATTTATTAGAAAACTTTCTTTCAATATTTTCTATGATCATGCACATTATGAGTTACACATTAAATAGTAATAAAAGCCTTTGAAGATTGAATTTCGGATATATTTAATTATTTTCAAAAAAATAGTCCTTTTTTGGTGAATTTTCAGCGATGATGTTTTTGAGGGGGGTCAACAAATTAATCTGTTCAAAATCCGTTTTTTAAGGTTTTGTAAGATTTTGGAAGAGGGGCCAAAACCCCCTGATCTTTCCTATTTTTTGTAAGACAACTTTCATTCCTATTTGAGATCACACTAGCACACCCCTTGTCGGCTTTGACGACAACCAAATCATTATTTTCCCTAAAATACACCTTTGTTCTCATACAATCCTTACGACAAAAGGTAACGGGGCGGTTTACGATTAAGGTCATCCTTGGCTTCAAGCAGATATCTCGAAATAGCCTAACATTCTCCTTGTGTATGTCAGGTACCTTAAAAATGGACGTTTCAAACCCTTTGATGGTTTGGAAACTTAAATCCCTATGAGCGGGAAAGTAAAATGTCAGTCCAACGCTAGGGTGCGCGTTACGTGTTCAGAAAGCGGTTCATCTCTCAGATTGACAACTTTTCCTTATATATTTATATATATATATATATATA